TGTGGCGCGCGCACGCCATTAAGAAGCACACGCCACGACGGACACCAGCACACACATACACACACACGACACACACACACACAACACACACGCTGCGGCGCACGCGACACGCACACACACGCCGGAAAGCTCGCAGCATAAACACACGCACGCCCGGACAACACGAGCACACACAGCACACACACACACACAGCATACCACACACGCGCGCGCGCGCACACACACACACACACACACACACACACCACACACGCACACACACGCGCGTGCGCACGCATAAACACACGCACACACACACACACACACACACACACACACACACACATACACACATACACACATAATACGACATATTAAAAGAATATGGGCGCCAACGGACAGGAACACAAAAGACATTCGGTGGTTCAATTCAGAGCTACGTAGCCTACAGGTGCAGAAAGAGGATGCGCAGAAAAATATATTAAAAGCATGAAACAAGAAGATTTATGTAAATTACAGAAAATTTATAAATCGGTTTAACAACCTTAAACCTGGAATGATCATACTAACTACATAGTAGACAAGATAAGTACTTACAAGTTAGCTCTAGTAGCTATAGCTACTTACAAGTATGAGCTTTCTCAGACAGATACGGTGACCACTACACACAAAGACAAATTTGCAATTGCTCGTCCCTTTGCCTGTCGCATCTCATATGTGGTTCTATACTGCTAATAAATCTCTCCAAATCAAATTTTGATAGACTAACCACACTACAAAATTATGCTCTATGCATAATAAAAGGTTATTCCCACAAAAATGCGTTATATAAAACACAAATTAATTATATAGACAGGCATGAGCAGCTACTAGAATTTGAGAACAGTTAAAAGTGTCTCCCATAGAATACCTAATTAAACACCACAAAGTTATATTTATATACAAAATACGTCAACCACTCAGAAATAATTCCTATCATGCATATCTGACAAATATGACACTAAATTCAAGGACACTGAAATTAAAATACATAACAACAAATAATATATATGGTCACAACTCACTTACTAAGAAGGTAATTGCTAAACACTAAAATGGGGTCATTCGATCGCTCGTTTGATTGGTAAGCATATTAATTGGTCAATGTAATTGGCAGATGGAATTGGTTTAGATTTTTGATCTTGGAATAGCATCAGGAGTGAATAAAAACAATTTGTATTAACTTCTCTGTTAGTATATATAAAATAACAATTAAAATCATCATGGATCATTAAATTGGGGTATTAGTTGTTAAACAAATAAAAACACAAGACATAATAATTATATATATATACTTTATAGTACATAATGAACAGATTTTTGCTCGTGTTTTTGCGTATGTGGTCGTGGGATGGCGCCACGATCGATTACCTTTGCTTGTTTGTAAACATGTAAATATGGCGTATGTTCGTTTTAATGTGAAAAGTGAATTATCATTATCATGTATAGTTCTGCTAATATATTTTCAAGTTTCAAAATGCAGCGAAGAAAGCAACTGCTCGAAGTTACAAATTGGACAATATCCTTTTACTCAATTACTAGTAGTACTAGTAGTAGTAGTACTAGTAGTAGTAGTACTAGCGTGTGTGTGATGACAGTCTGTGAAACACTGTGACTGTCACTGTTAAACCGACCAGGCTCTCCGACTGTTACACGCCAACGTAGTGTTAAGCGAGAAGGGAACTTGTGGCTATGTCACTGTCAGTGAGTGTCACTGTGACTCTCACTCTGCACTTCAGTCATGCCACCAGTCACAGGCACCTGAAGCGTTTCAATAAAATATAATGCTAAATAAATACGAAATCTATTTACTACCAAAGTCTTAATGTTTCTATACTCTCTTTCACCTATTATTGCCGACAATTTCCTGTAAATGCCGTCCAAAGGCTCATCTGTAAACACACGCCGCCGCCATGGCATTGCTGCTGCGCTGCACACTGACACATAAGCCGCGTTCACACGGAGCGGAGGAACTCGGGTCGAAAACGACCCGTGTCAAATGCGTCCCGGGACGAGCGTTCACACGGACGTTTTCTCGGTACGAAAACGACTCGGGTCGAAAACGACTCGAGTCCTCGTTCATTTTTGCCGTGTGAACGCGCGACTCGGGTTGGAATTAGTACGTCACAACACGAAAGTAAACAGAATAGTTGGAAGTCAGTCAGAAGAGTTTGATTGTTTAATTCGCATTGTTCGCTTGGACGCATTGTATTTTTTTTCTCAGCTCACAGCTCGTGTGAACGCTCTCTTCAACGACGCTCCGTGTCGTTTACGACACGGGTCGTTTTCGACCCGAGTTCCTTCGCTCCGTGTGAACGCGGCTATGAAATCGATTAGCGTTTATTCGTGGATAAATGGATCATATCTACATTGTTTCACTCTTGGTTAGTTTAGCCGGACCCACGTGAAATGTGTCGAACGTGCAGCAAGCATCTAGTCCAGCAGATAAAATGAATCTTTTAGGAGAATCTGTCAAATTGTGAGACAGGCACCAAATTGCTGGACTAATCACCCAGCGACGGGCAACGATGTAATAAAGTCAGTACTGTCACATTTTTGTCTCTCTGTAGACTGTACTCACAGAGCAATGTACCCCGCAATGAAAATTGATTAAACATGAGATAGACGCGTTCCATCTACAATTAGTGTTAGCCGGTTGGTGTTGCGTCACGTCGAGTGGAACAATACGAAACAAATGAAATGGTATGAGTTTAATTATATGCTTTCCTCCAATCTCGTACGCTTTATATTTATTGCATGCGTTTGGCAATAAACAGGGTTCATAGTAGTAAGACACATGTTGAAATAATGACTTATAAGACCCTTTCTGGAGGCCAAAATAAGACTTTTTTACGCGATTTCTGATAGATCACCGACTATTAAAGTACACTAATAATATTTATATACACAATTGCACAGCCGTTTCGCCGGAATTCAACACAGAAAATGTTGAAAAATGGTCCTTTGGCAAAAAATAAGGACTATTAAGTACTTTTCTAAGATTTCACACAAAAATAAGTACTAATAAGGGCCCTTATTTTATTTTTGGCCAAATAAGTACTTATAAGACTTTGGAAGACCCGCTACGAACCCTGATAAACTGCTGCGTCTGGTAGCTAGGTTATGCTGCTTTCTATTTATGCAATTTCACTGTCTTTGCGCTTATTTGATTAGCAACAAGGTAGTGTCATATGATAAAACAGATTATTAATACTAACTTTTTTCACGAAAACTTATACTGTGTATTTAAAGTATTATTGTGAGACTGCTTGCAGCGGGAGTATGTTACGGCTAAAAAAGCTTTTGTTACATCGTAATTTAAACTCTAACATATGGCAGATTAGCTATAAATGGCGAATATTTATAAAAGTAAACGCGTTAGAAATATTTCCCAATAGACCTGCTATAAATCTAAAGCCTGACATGTCGATTTCTAGCAAAATATATACCATTAGCGTAAAAAGCCATCAGACAATATGGGAGATTAAAAAAAACATCTTTGCTAAATTTGATCCTAAAAACGTGGTGCCAACCTGTTATTTCTAAAAACCTTAGAGATTTGAGAGATATTTTAGAAATTTGCGTGCATGCACGATTTCGTGCGAGGGTTATTGACGTTCCTGCCACCGAGCAAGCGTGCACAGCACAACTTAAATTTCAATCTACACATGCACTAGCTGGTGAGAAAATGCAATAGAATAATTTCGTCGGGCAGACAACGGACTTCTACCGCATCAAGGATGTGACACAATGAATACACGCACACGCGCTCGCACACACACGCATACGCACACACGCATGCACGCACACACGCATGAACGCACACACGCACGCACGCACGCACACGCGCTTGCTACGGGAGAATCAATGAAACACTAACAACATCGGCTCTGTATTCGCTGAATATGACCCCTGTCGGTCCTTGCTAAGTTTAAGCGATACCGAAAACATCTCTCTATAACCTGCTACAGTACGCAGCACGAGGTTTTATATATATAGAACCATATATATATATATATAATGTGTCTCTGTGCACAGCTCAATTGTGATATATGTAAGGATATATATATCTATTGTAATTTTAATAACATACGGTATAATAATTAGGTAAAACGGCTTTCTATCGCTAATCTAATAATATAACCATTCATTACCAAAAAAATATTTAAAAGAAGCCAGTTGGCAAAAAGAGCGCGAAAACTTTTCGATAAATTTCAGAAGGCTGGGGCATCGTAAGATCACCGCTATCGGCGTTGCGTCGACTCAGCCTAGAATATTGTTGATCCATTGTTGTTGCTATGTTGATTGATGATGTCGTCTGCATAACAATCAGGCATCACGCGACGGGAAAGACGATCAGTTACATCGGCACAATATAAATACAGGTCTCAAGTGATAGCGGCTATAGACCTGTCGACGTACGCGAACAGCTTTTAGCAAATGAGTTTACTGAATAGTGTCACCGGGGTAGGGGTGTTCATTCATTATTTTAATTAGTGTGCGCGTCGAAATTAGAATATTATATTGATAATTAGCAGGAAACAATGTAGACACTGAATTCCGGCAACTATTTTGCATCCTATGCGAAAATATTTAATATGCATCAGCGGTTTCATGCCCGAATTAATTAGGCGGATAGCACCGCCTCCGAGCAAACATATGCAAATTAGTTCATACTACCTCTTGTTTCAAATCCACTGTAACCTTTCTGGATCGATATTAATTATTAATTAAAAGGAAAATCTATGCGAGAAAGGTTTTTCCAATATCGAGTAACATCCGCTGTTTGATAGAGTTCCTGTGTTGAGTAAAATGGCTTCATCACTTTTTTCTCCGGCTGTGTTATTTTCCACCGGCTATACGCTTATAGAGCTGTATTGACGTGGCTGATGTGAAAGCCACGAGCGTTGCTTCTGGATGTATATCTATCGTTTAACACAGACAGTGCTGGCCGACGATTGGAGTAACGCTATTAAACTTCAAGCCGGCATTGAACGGCAGTCGAGGTTACTGCAATTCTATGATAGTTCCGACGGCAGCGTAACTGCCACGGCGCGTTGTCGTCAACTAAAATAACGTAGACATGAAATCGATTACCGTTTATTCGTGGATAAATGGATCATATCTACATTGTTTCACTCTTGGTTAGTGCAGGTCCCACGTAAAATGTGGCAAACGCAGAACAAACATCACCCAGAGACGAGCTAATTATATGTAATTATTATTGGCTTATAGATTTGATCTCTCTTCTTCTTGGATATGCTATCTTATTCCTTCGTGTAAGAATTACCCATAGGGTCCTGCGAAATATTTTGGTGGCTATAAAGACGAACAGAATCATTAGATGGCTTGGGCACGTCTTTTGTGTCGATGTCTCAAAAAGTATAACAACGGTAACTATTGGCGTATTACCAACAGTAAAATGCAAACGCAGGTGAAAACAATCAGACCTTGGCCAGGGACAGTGGTCATGGGGCTAAAAGAGATTGGTTTTTTGATGGGGAAACAATGCAGGAATCTTTTTGTCTGACGGAGCTTTCCTGCCTTTCCATCGACCGGCAACCGTCATAACACAAATGGAGTAATATATGCGAGCTGGTACAAAAATAGCACATAAATATTCTCCCTGTCAGAAGCAGTAATCACTACATCAACAGCAGTCCGATGTTGTAAAGAGCTAATAATTTATTTTGATACCCAACGAGTACAGTCACGCGTTCACCAAATTTCTCGCCATCTTTACAATTCTTAATTAGTCAGAGCAACAACGGATTCCACCCGAAGTGCATGGCAGCAAAACCTCAGTCTGAATTGTGTAAACGAATTAGCATTAGCATGGCAACAATCCTAGATTTTGCGGCGGGCAATTACGATAAACGTTTGATAACGTTGTAATTAAATTAAAGCTGCCTCGAGCACGTTTAAATTAGAACATTTAAACTAAATCTGTTATTTTTTATATAAAATAAACTCTTTCAACAGATCGACGTCCAGCTGTTGCTGAGAGAAGCAAACTTCACCGCCGGTAGATTGTTTAATTAATTGCATTATCGTACATAAACTATATACATCAAAGCACACATTTCGATTAAACATTGTGAAACCGGCAAAGTAAATGCCAATGTTCTCAATTTCCGTGTGTACTCTGCTAGCTCTTGGTTGTTTGTTCGCTTGGTTGGTTCGTTGGTTTATAGCCCTACTTGGTAGCAAGCCACTAACTTGCCCGCCCCCATCCCCATATGGCATTTTCAGCTATTCCTGTGTCTTTTCCCTAGTCCGTCGCAAGATTTGCCCAACTAAACACATCGAAAACAAGAGAAAATAAAAACGAAAACCATGAAACCAAAATTACAAAATCGCGTTAGACAATTTCTGTGCGATAAATGAAATAAGCAATTTTTCCCTACAGATAAATGTCGCTACGACACACGCGCAGCAAAGTTGCCGACGTGCGTAACTGCTAGCCAGCGAGTCACACCGACCGCCCCTCGATTTCACTAACCCATCATGATCAATTCG